CTGGATCCTACCTCTACTTGTACTGTTTTTTACATGCAAATTTTAATGAGATTTCCATATAATGGTAACTCTGTTGTTACCCTAAGCCAAAACTGAATGGCTTTAAATGATAACTGAACTATCAGTTGTAGAACTTCTTACAGTCTTTCAATGATAGTTCTTGACTAAATAACTAAATCTCTTTTAAAACACATTACAAAGAGAGAGCTTTGATGTTAAACAATCTTGATATTGAATTGTATTATAAATTCTAATATAATCTGACTACAGAAGCAGTGGCAATATTAACATAATTTTTTGTTGAGTGTTTTTAAAGTTCTCTTCTTTTTTTTTTTTGAATTTTTTGAATTTTTATTTCTTATACACATATTGTAAATGTACATTCTCTTATCCATAATTAATCATACATATATATATATTTTCTAAAGAAAGCATAAAAAATAAGATGTTTTAATTACATTTGGGGTTGCTCTTCTCTTCAAAGTTTAATACAACACTTTACAATAAAATGTGGTACCACTCACATTTTAGCCTAAAATTTTAGCCTTGGGAGAGCCCAACACAAGTGAAAATCCTAGTCCTTGTGAATTTTGAATCCCTGATTTCAGTTAGGGTGGGCTCCTGTGCAAAGATGGGGTAGGCAGGATGGCAAAATAACATCTATTCAAAGGTAGCAGGTTCTGTTCTAACTTGCTGCACATTAAGACATTCAAAACAGTGGTGGGTTTCAAAAAAATTTGCTACCGGTTTAGTGGGTGTGGCTAGGTGGGGGAACATGTGACTGAGTGGGTATGGCCAACTTGACGTCACTCATGCCCATGTCCACTCAGTCACATGACTCCCCCACCTAGCTACATCCATAGGAAAAGGTAGGAAATTTTTTGGAATTTCCACCTATCTACCCCTGCCCTCCCTTTGCCAGTTTCTCCCATTTCCCCTCCTTTAGTGGCCCCGGCCCTAGCCCTGCTTCCTCCCCCACCACTGCCTCTTTGTTCGGGTTGCTTAACTTCCACAGCGGATGGCCAAGAGTCCAGAAGGCAAGCTGACCAGAGTTTTCAGCAGCCCCCAGCCAGGCGCCACTGCTGGAAAGTGGCTGGCAAAGAAGCCTCCCAGGCCGCAGGCCACCCAAAAATACCGGAGGAAAAAGCTGCTGCCATCGCCGCCATGTTCTTCACGCATGCGCACCCTATTGGACTTGCAGGTCCAATGAGATGCATGTGTACAGAACATGGCAGCAATGAACATGGTGGGCAGGGTGAGTGAGCAGTGACCAGGGGTGTGGCCAGGTTAAGGGGCATGGCCAGCTGGCCATCACTACCGGTTTAACAACCTTGGTCAAATTTCCGCCAATGGTTCAACTGAACCGGTGCGAACCGGCTGAATACCACCTCTGATTCAAAAACATCCTCTAAAATTCTCAACTTTCCTAAAGAAATATTTGGGTTAAAATTTACTTCTGAAGCATACATTTATCTGATCTCATACAGGCTGTGAAAGAGCCCTCCACTTGATAATGCTTTGAGCACTGAGAATTGAGGTAATGTTTTGTCTCACGGTGTCAATGAAAGGGAATATATCAGGGGTGCTATTCAGCAGGTTCTGAAAGGTTCTGGAGAACCGGTAGCTGTTCTGACATAGGTTTCCTCAGTCAGTAAAACACACAAGTAGTTTATTGCAACATCTGTGAATTATGTTCATTCACAGATGAGTCCCAAATAGTTGTAAAGAATCTTTCGGGATAAGGCTGATAATCACCCATCTTTATCTCCTGCTAAAGATCTAATTGGCAAAGCCACACAGAATCCAGAATCAAACAGAACTGAACAGAATTAACAATGTTGCTTCCTGCAAAGGCCCACATGCCTTTGCTCCTCTTTTAAGTTTTATGGGAGGGTCCAATCATCTCCAAGCCCTACTCCCGAGCTGTCCCTTTTGTTTTAACTGTTCTTGCCTTCTGGCAGCTCTGCGCATGTGCACACTGGGAACAGACTTCCCCTGTTCCTGTGCCTCCCTGAGGTCTGACTCTGGAGGCTCCGGAGGCAGCATGTACTTCCCAGATGGCCCTTTCTCTGCCTCCAATGCAGAGCCCTCGTCCAAACCTTCCCCAGGCTCTAGGACTGGCCATGTTCCTCCCCAACCTCTTCACAGTCCGACTCAGCTGCCACTCCACAGGCTGCCAGCGGACCACAACACTAGTGGAAATTTTGAGTAGTTCAGAGAACCGGCAAATACCACCTCTGGCTAGCCCCAGAGTGGGGTGGGAATGGAGATTTTGCAATAGCCTTCCCCCATGAGTTGGGAGAGAATGGGGATTTTGCAGTATCCTTCCCCTGGAGTGGGGTAGGAATGGAGATTTTGCAGTATCCTTCCCCTGGAGTGGGGTGGGAATGGAGATTTTGCAGTATCTTTCCCCTGCCACGCCCACCAAGCCATGCCCACAGAACCAGTAGTAAAAAAATTGAATTCCACCACTGGAATATATCCTTAAGTAACCTGGAGATACTCCCTTTTTTGGGGCATTGTAGCTGTAATACAGAAAGTTTAAAGGAGTTAGCTGTTGTCCAGACAGCTTTGGCAATTTTATTCCTACCTTTCTAGTTCAGTGCTGGAGAAGAGATAACAGAAATCAAATCATAGGAGACTTCTATTGACACTTTTATTGTATAGTCAATCAGATTATCTACATAACAGAATTATGCCATTGTGATCAGTATATAATCACTAAATGGTTAATATGGCTACAGTTCTAGCACATGCTTATAAAGGACTGACCATAGAATGGTTACATTGACATACGGTTTTGCATTGTCAGAATCATATGGTGACAAATAAATGAAAACTGGGCCAGAGAAAAAAAGTTTCCATGTTTTCTGCTCTCTTGCATTCATGTGCATTTTTTGATCTTCCTGTGATATTCAATATTATTCTTTGTGTTGCCAGGTTTTTTTTTTTTTTTTTTTGAAGTACTGAGTTCTGCCACATAAAGCATGTAAATGCATCTAGTTACTATAATTTGCATGCACCTGCTTAATTTTTTAAAGGTGTTTTGCTTCTTTTTTTTTCTGTTTATAAAATGTTATATAGGAGCAAGTGGAAGCAAGTAGGAAAGACATGGATGAATACTGAAATAAAAGAGCATCATCAAAATTGGATGGATTTCAAAAGCATTTGATTTTGGAGCAGAAAAAGTTGAATAAAGTATATGTATTTTATAGTCACATGCCTCTGGGGAAGTTCTTAAATATTTAATAATTCGTGAAAAGGGATGATTGCTTACAGTGCCAGAGCAATTACATTTTTTGTTTGTTTGTTTTACGTTTTCTGATGAATATGAATAGCAGAGTAAGAGGGTGATTAAAACACATGAATTGCACAATTTGTCACTTCAGTTGCTGAAACAGTTTAGAAGAATCCACAATCTCAAAAAATTTTGCCTTGGAATTTGTTTACCTAGAAAAAAATTGGTTGGTTTTTTTCTGTCATCTTTCCTAAACAGGTTTTAAAATATCTTTTCTTTTAAATTATTTTTTTCCCACTCACGAAGGAAGAATGGGTGACCCCTATTACAGCCTAATATTATATATTCCAGGTCAATGAAAATTCTCATAAACACCTCAGGCTCTTTCCAGTTGTTCTCAAGTTAAACCCCGAGGCAAGGTAGTGGTTCTGAACTTAGCCTTTCTCCCTGGGGATAATTCTAGCTGTGCTCTGTGGCTGCAAGACATCTGTATATGATAAGGAAGTCTATGCAATCCACCCAACAAATCTACAGATCCTTTAAATAGTGTTATGTTTAACTAAGGGATATAGTCAAACATGCACATCCCCATCTTTGGCCTAATCTTATAATTAAGGCTGCTGGTAGGAAGCACTGACGTTGTTAATGCTTCTTTGAGGAAATTTCTCAATATAGATCTGAAATCTAGTATAAAAAGTGATACAAAATTGTATAATAAAAAAAAATCAGGAGAAAAAAAATACTAAATTCTCAAATAAGTGATTTTCTATTTTTTTTTTGAACCTGGGGTCTTTTCAAACGGTGCAGCAGTTAAATTTATGTATTCAGTTATCCTACTGTTAACTATTATTATCACCACTGGTCTCCTTTTTTCTTCTCACTTTTCAGTTTGCTCCTTTCTACCCTTAGTTTTATCAGAATGATTATTCAGAAAAAGAGCATTTTGCTTGTCTTTGATGGAAACAAAAATCAATAATTGCTTTAGTCTGTATTTTTTAAATGAACACAGCAAGCTATTCCATTAAGCAGTAAATTCCGAGTTATGCATTCTTTTTTTCATAATAATTAAAATAGATAAGAATATTTGGAATGGATTGTTGCCTGAGAGATGTGGCAATGCTTTGAATAGATAAAGCTACCTAATTGCTACTATTACTACTACAATTTTATGGGAAGTGAGTCTAATTAGAGCTGAAATCAGTTTGTCCTTCCTGATGTTTCAGATTAGGGACTGTTCTTTCCTTAGTTCAGGTGGTTGGTAAATTTCCATTTGCTACATTGAATAATGTCTATCTTCTAGCTGTGATATAGAGCAGTGTCTGCCTGAGCCATATTATCCACTCAGGACAATACTACAATGAAATACTGATTGAGAATTCTAATGTTGATCATTCTGTTGGTTCCTGGATTTTATTTGGGATATTTGTTACTTAACAATAAAATTACAGTTCTAGGATTATTCCCATAGGGAGGGAAGAAAAAGTCAATTTGAGCAGATTTCTTTAACAGTGCTCATGTAATTTCTTCCCTTGCCCTTCAGGGATCACTTCTAGAAAGAAATTGACAATAGTAGGAGGGAAGAAAATTGTATAGAACTTTTGAGGAAGATCGATGTTACCTATGCTATCCTTCTAAAGATTAAAACTGAGGAGAAAGTATCCTTTCAAAGGGTAAACTAGATAAAGCACTGCAACTCAATGTGTAGAGCAATTTTTAAAAATAACTACTAATATCTTCCATTATTTCTGGCTTTTCTTCACAGCACCAAGGAAAAATTGGTGTTAAATTTAATGTTGGAACAGATGATATTGCAATTGAAGAAGTCAACGCAATCATTAATGATGGGAAATACCATGTAGTACGTTTTACAAGAAGTGGTGGTAATGCCACATTACAGGTGGACAACTGGCCGGTTATAGAACGCTACCCAGCAGGTGAGAACGTAAATACAATCTGATGGATTTGTGGAATTACAGGGATTTAAAGAGTTTTTTTTTCTTGCATAGGTATGTAGGATCTTTGCTTCTTCAAGATGCCTAATTGTTCTTTGCTGCCATTAAAAATGTTTTTACCAATTGTTAAAATAGCAATTTTTTGAGTTTTTATTTCATTACATTGGACAGATGAATAAAACCAAGGAGTAACGATGTCAAAATTCTTTGAAACCAACTTTTAAATAACAATAATATGGTATTAATATATTGTTGTACTTAGATAATGCAAAGGCTTTGACAAAAATAGCTTAATATATTGAAAAACCATTTTAAAAATCTGGAATTAAAATAAGTACTGGAAAATAGTACTTACTTTATAAACTACTATTAAGTAGAAATTGTGAAGTAGAAAAATATATTACAGAATTAATTTAAAGAAAAATGGGATTAATTTTACAAACATTTGCTAGTTATGGTTCATCAGCTGCTTATTTTAAGCTGTCTCATCAAAACCTGCCCAACATATGGTTTGTTCCCCAAAATATTTTTTTTTGTTTCTCATTAGATTAGCTGTGATATGGCCTCAGCAGATAATCAATCATATTAAGTATTTTTAATTGGCCAAGTCAACAGACAGCCTTGTGACTTGCACAAAACCATGAAGTTGTACCCTGAATCTTATGAAAATGATGCGACTATCTTGCAATATTATAAATTGGAACAAAAATGAATTTTAGGAGAAATAGATACAAAAATGTGAATATTTTTATGTAGTATCTAAAATAACAATACTTGATGCAAAATGAAAACAAGGCAAACTGAATGAGCTAAAATATAATGGATTCATGCAGGCATTTCTAGAATTCTTTTTATAATCAAGATGCTCTGATGTCACTGAGAGATTTTCACAAGATGAAACTAAAGTTTCAGCATTTTATAGCATAGAAGTCATGCTTTGTGGTTTTACAGCCAAGTTTGGGCTGGACATTGCCATTCTTGACTTCCAGTCATATATAATAAGAGTTTAAACAAAGGAAAGATTGCTACTTCACTTGAAGTCTTCTATACCCTAAGACCAATTAGCAAGTTCATGATTTTTTTTATTTCTAATAAGCTGTGATCCTCTGAACTAGTGAGTGGCAAGAATGGAGCCTTGTGTAGACTTTTGAGGTTTTCCAGTATTTAAATTAACAACAGTGGAACTTCTGCTGATCTTTAAAATCAGCATCTGAGCTCCAATTTTTGGTTCTCTGCTAAAGGATGTAAGTTTAAGAAGGGAAACATTTCTTTTGTCACTGCTTTTTGTGAAAAATGCATATTTCTTAATCATAAGTTGTTGGCTGGCCTTCATGATAATTAAAAGAATATATTCTTGACAATACTTACTTAAATTTAGTGCCTGTGGATTTACTTAAAATTTTATCTCCTGCTATTAAGTTTATTTATTATCTTATTTGTTAATTTCATTTACTCTATACTGCATGCAATTTGGGGAGGGAGGTTGAGCTGTTTAAAATTAAACTTGCACTTTACTTTGATTTTTAATGCTCAAATGCAAGTTTAAAGTCTGTGGCATAATAAATAACTCTATGCTCCAGGATCCTTAGGCATTTGAATACTAACACTAAGTCATTTCCTGTATTCTTCTCCTCCTCCCTCAGAAAAAGAAAACTGGAAACATTTCATAAAATGTTAAATGAGTGTTCACAGTCTTTCTGTTGATTTTAATAGTTCCTTGTACACCACAGCAGGGCCTAATTAAAACCATAGTTTCAGTCATAAGTCAGAATTCCCTTGTGCATCTTCTTGCTCAGCTCAGGCCAATTGTTCTTAATGTTTAATTTTCTTTAAGCTTTTATCAATATCATGATGGTGCCTTTGTAATGTAACAGCAAAAATTGGTGTTTTGTTTTGTTTTTGCACTTTGTCTTGATTTAACTCTGCCTTTATAACACCTGTTTTGCTTTTGTGCTTCTTGTCTAATCTATAAGCCACGTTTTACATCTGGATCCTTTTCAGTCAGGTTTCTGACCCAGCTACAGGACCAAAATTCCATTGGTCACATCCATCCTTGCTCTTCTTAATCTGTTAGTGGCTTTTGATACTATCAACCATGGTGTCCTTTTAGGTCGATTTAAGGAATTGGGGGAGGGCAGTACAGTTTTTTGCTGGTTCATCTCCTACTTCCAAGACTGGTCCCAATTTGGGCTAAAGGGATCAAGAGGTCCTACTCACAGCCCCTCCTTTATGGGGTACCACAGGGCTCAGTGCGTTTTCTGCTCCTTTTTAACATCAACATAAAACTGCTGGGCAAGATCATCTATCACCAGAGGACAAAGTATCACCAATAAGCTGATGATACCCAGCTATATATTTCTATCCCAGCTGAAGTGGATGATGCAGTGGACACCCTTTTATGGTGCCAGGAGACTGTGGGAGTCTAGAAGGGGAACAACACACTTCAACTGAAATCTAGTAAGACAGAGTAGCAGTGGATAGGCCCCTATGGATAGGCCCCTATCTAGGAGTTTATCAATTTTGGTCCTGGATAGGGTTGTACTACCTCAGACCAGGTATATAACTTGGGGGGTCCTCTTGGACTCACAGCTCCTGCTTGAAGAGCAGGTGGCAACTGTGGCCAAAAGGCCTTTGCCCAGGTTTGAATTGTATGACAGTCATGTCCCTTCCTGGGCAGGAAAGCCCTCTGCTTGGTTACTCCTGCCCTGGTCATCTCCCAATTGGACTATTGCAAAACATTATGTATGGGGCTACCCTTGAAAAGTATCTGGAAGCTTCAGCTGGTGCAAAATGGAGCCACATGAGCCATACTAAGTGCCTAAAGAAGGGCATATATAAGACCTTTGCTCCACAAGTTGCACTGGGAGCCAGTTTGCTTCCAGTCCAATTCAAAGTGTTAGTTATTACCTATAAAATCTTACATGGCATACCTATAGATTTGGCTTCACTCCATCACATCATCCCATCACATTCCTTCAGACAGGGAAAAAATGCTACAGACCCCATCAATTTAAAAAAAATTGAGAGAGACAGCTTTTCTGCCACTACCTCTGCAATGGGAAACATCTTGCCCTCATACCATTTTTTGACCTTCTTTGTAGTCTTGTTCATGACTCACAGTAGTCCCAGAGCAGTCCCAAAAACCTGTTTTATTGCAACAGCTGTGAATTATGTTCATTCACAGCTGAGTCCCAATTAGTTACAAAAAGTCCTTCCGGAAAAGTCCTTCAGGATAATCACCAACCTTTATCTCCCTTGACACTCTGCCAAAGACTTACTTGGCAAAACCACACAGAGTCCAGAATCAAACAGAGATGCCGATTGGGAACAGAATTAACAATGTTGCTTTCCTGCAAAGGGTCCATGTGCCTTTGCTCCTCTTTTAAGCCTTATGGGAGTGGCCAATCATCTCCCGAGTCATCCCTTTAATTTTAACTGTTCTTGCCTTCCGGCAGCTCTGTGCATGTGTGCACTAGTAACAGGCTCCTCCTGTTCCTCTGCCTCTCTGATGTCTGACTCTGGAGGCTCCGGAGTCTGTGCATAACTCCCAGATAGCTCTGGCCCCATCTCTGCCTTCGACGCAGAGCCTTCATCCAAACCTCCCCTAGATTCCAGGACTGGCCCATGTTCCTCCCCAGCCTCCTCACTGACTGACTCCGCTGCCAGCTCTGCAGGCTGCTGGAACACCACAATAGGTTTTGTGGTCCTTTGACCCATTTGTCAGTGAGTTCCCCCCCCCTTTTTTTAAACTGCACTGTTGCTACGGGGGGGGGGAATGTGAAAGCGATTCTCATAAGGGTAAATTCCTGTTTCTGGATTCTCCTTAGTTGAAGAAATGGTTATTGCTCCATTAGGGCAAGGAAAAAGCAGCTGTTCAGTGGCTGAAGCCAGTATTATTTTATCCCCTATTTTCTTTTATTAAAACCAACTCTTTTTACAGGGCTGTTTGAAATTCAGCAAAGAGTACTGTGGTACTATTTCATACTTTGAGCAATCAACTGAGGACCTCAGGATTTAGATCAGGCTTCCCCAAACTGGGCTCCTTTGTAATTTTTTTTTCTATCTCGGACTTCCATCAACTCCAACAAACCTGACTAGTGGTTAGGAATAAAGGAAGTTGTGTTTTAAATCCTCTGGTGAAACTAGGTTATAGAAAGCTAGATAGTAAGAGAGAAACTTGTGTCTCTGAAGGCAGTCAGAATTTATGAATGAATGAATGAATGAATGAATGAATGAATGAATGAATGGTCACACTGACAAAGAATTCTATTGCACAAATATTGAAGAGCAGATCTGATATTTTTCCTTACATTTCTATAATGCTTTCCTAATCCATTATATACTTTTTTTTTAAGCGGGTAAGGAGCTCTTTTATTTTTCGCTATGAATTATCTCTAGTCACTTCTGCTATCTAGAGCCAGTTTTGTTTCAGAGTCCCCCCTCTCCCCCAATTCCTTTGCTGGCTCTCCATTAAACCATAATTGTTCCAGGTAGTACAAACATATCCAACCTATCATTATCTGGTGCAATATTTTAGACCAAGCTATGAATTTTGGAAATATAATTAATGCTTATTAGCATGACTTCAGTGTGTTTTAGGTATCTGTTTAAAAAATAAACTTGTTACCATGGCATCTGCTTTTTAACTTATCTCCTGTACCTGCATCTGGGTTTAATTAAACATTCACAAGATCAGCAGGTTAATTAAGAAGTCTTTTCATCTGAACTGTGCAGCTGATCCCTTCTTCTCTGAGATGGAAGAAATCAGTTTGACTTCCTGTGATACCTCAGCCTGATTGATTCTCTGTCCAGGCAAGCCACCTAGATGTTTTCACTTGCTTGTCCATTTTTTTAAAAAAATTGTTACTATATGAATTTAATAATACAGAAAAGTTTGGTTTTCATTATGCATAGGTTTGGTTTTGTCTACATGTGTGTATTTTTCCTTCTGAATTGCATTATCACATTTGTTTGTTATTTTT